GTGGTCGGCCATGTGGGAGTACAGCCTCCTTATCATCACCATGCCACCTGCTGGTTCCAATAGAAGTAAATGTAAAACACAAAACTAAAATTCCTAAAAAATAATATAAGATAAAATCTGGAGACCTTAGCTTTGGCAACGACTTTCTATATACAATATCATAAGCATAACCTATGAAAGAAAAAAATGATAAGCTGGGTTTTATTAAAATTCAAAAATTGGGGACCAGCAGATGGAGTAATGGTTACATTGCTGGACTCCCATGCAGTTGACCACAGTTCGAATCCTGGACCCGGTGGCTTAAACTCACACCGGGCACATGTGCGTGTGTGCCCAAGATCCTGAGAGAAGAATGAAGGAGAAGGGATTGTGGGATGGCCTTCCCCCTGGGGGTGATTTCTCGCTTTCCGTCTGTCTTTCCAGTGAGTGCATGTGCCCTATAGCAAAAATCTCTCTGAAAATTCAAAATTCCTGCTCTGTGAAAGACATGTTAAAGTGAAAAGACAAGCCACAAACTGAGAGAAAATATTTGTAAAACACATATTTGGTAAGAAATTTATATCAAAAATATATTAAGAACTTTTAAAACCCAACAATAAGAAAACAACTCAGGACCAGTGAATGGCATAATGGACTCCCATATAGTCGACCGTGGTTCAAATCTCAGACCCAGCAGCTTAAAACTCACACTGGGGTAGGGGGGTGTGGCAGGTGGCCTGGTGGTTAAGTGTACTGGACTACCACATGGCTGAATGTGTTCGAATCCCAGACCTGGAGGCTTGTTTTCTCACCTTCTCTCTCTCTCTCTCTCACACACACACACACACAAGCACACACCAAGCACACACACACTCTGTCCCTCTCTATTAAAATTTAAAAATAAGTAAATAAATAAAGTTAAATAAGTTAAATAAAATAGTTCTTTAAAAAAAAACAACAAACTCATACTAGGCACGTGGGTGTGCATGCCCAAAAATCTCTCTAAAAAACAAACAAACAGACAAACAAACAAACAAAACAGGGCTGGGAGGTGGCATAGTGGTTAAGGGCACTGGACTCCCATGTGGTCAACTGCAGTTCGTGTCCTGAACCTGGCAGTTTGCTTTCTCATTTTCCTTCTCTCTCTCTCTCTCTTGCTCTGTCCTTCTCTAGTCAAACTGAAATAAATGAATGAATGAATGAAGTTAAATAAAATAATTCTAAAAAAAATAAAATAAAACAACCCGATGGGGCCAGTAGGTGACATGGTGGTTAAGGCACTGAACTCCCACATGGCTGACCATGGTTTGAGTCTCAGACCTGGTGGCTTGAGGATCATGCCAGGTGTATGCGTGTGTGTGCCCAAAATCCCAAGAGGAGAAGAGAGGAAAAGGGATTGAAGCATGGCTGTCCTCTCTAGGGAGTGATTTATCACTTTTTCTCTCTCTGGCAAGTACACGTGCCTTATGGCAAAAATCAAAAAAAAAAAAAAGAAAAAATGAGTAAATGATTAGTGCACCTCACCAAAGTAGATATACAGTTGGTAAGCATGCATATGAAAAGATGCTCTACATAATATGTCACTAGGGAATTGGAAATTAAAAAAAAAATACCACTATGCACACTTATTAGGATGACTCAAATAAAAAAAATGAAGAAAAAGAAAAAAGACGATACCAAGTGTTGACAAGAATGTGGAGCAACAGGAACTCTTATTCACTATTAGTGGGAATACAAAATAGCACAGTCATTTTGGAAGGCAATTTGGCAGTTTCTTATAAAACTAAACATATTCTTGGTCCAGCAGGTGGCATGGTAGTTAAAGGCACTGAACTCCCACATGATTGAAACAGTTTGAGTCCTGGACCTTGTGGCTTGTTTTCTCACTTTCCCTCTCTCTCTATCTCTCTGTCTCTCTTTCACACTCTGTCCCTCTCTGGTCAAATTACAATAAATAAATAAAATTAAATAATTATTAAAAACTAAACATATTTTCACCACTTCACAGCCATGAGGATGGCAATTATAAAAAACAAAAACTAGGGCCTACTTTGGTGATGCGGTGGTAATGTGCTGCTTGAGTAATTCTGGATCCATATGGAAAATCACCAGTTTGGTTCCCTGGGTGACCTAAATATGCCAGCCACATGCACCCAGTGATCCTGACTGGCTGGGAAGGTTTGAGGGGGACTGCAACGTGACACCCACCAACCTGAGGGTGCTTGTCTTTCGCTCTCACTCTCATAGAAGAGATCATTTCACAAGTCTTTATATATATATGTATATATATATATATATACGAGAGAGCGAGAGAGCGAGAGAGAGAGAGAGAGAAAGTGAGAAAGTGAGAAAGCAAGCCAGGTCTGTGGCCGGCCATGTGGGAGGCCAGCATCCTTAACCACCACTCCACCTGTTGGCCCTCAGGCCTTTATATTAATAATTCACCTTAACAAAATGTTGTAGAGTAATGTAGTTATAGACATGGCATGAACTGCCCCCCATTCTGTTATCCTAGAAAATACTGGGGCTAGATGGCGGCACAGCAGTAAAAGTTGACGCTGTGAGAGGCAACTCACATGGGAGTGTCGCCGGTTGCTTCCAGGGCCTTCCTGAGTACCCCAGGCGCACATGTCCATGGTTGGGAGCCGCCTGAAGCTGAGGGTGGAATACAGCATGGAGAACCTGTCAGGGGTACTGTTAAACTCTCTGACTCACTCATGGAATAAATAAATTAACCTTATAAAGAAAAGAAAAAGAAACCCTAACCAGTGTTTTATGTTGTGGCCAATCTGTACTTATAAGAATGAGGTTTGGGGGACCAGCAGTTAGCGTAATGGCTATGTTGCTGGAATCCCATGTAGTCGACTGCGGTTCGAGTCCCGGATCCGGTGGCTTAAACTCACGCTGGGCATGCGTGTGTGTGCCCAAATCCTGAGAGGAGAATGGAGGAGAAGGGATTGTGGCGTGGCCATCCCCCCTGGGGGGTGATTTCTCGCTTTCTGTCTCTCTGTCTCTCTCTGTCTGTCTGGCGAGCTCACGCGCCCTATAGCAAAAACCTCTCCCCCCCCAAAAAAAGAATGAGGTCTTTCATTTCAAAATGTTTGCTGTTAGGCATATTTGTGGGGTGCAGGGGTTATGGTTATGGTGGGGAGTGAGAAAGCACCCTCCGGGGGATGGCCACAGGCAATTCTTTCTGCTCCATTTTCTTCTCTGGGGATTTTGGGGACACACGCACACACGCCCAGCATGTTTCTCAACCCACAGGTCTGGGACATGAGCAGTAGGTCCGCCATACAGAATCCAGCTGCTTTAATCACCATGCCACAGACCTGACCCAAAGAAATTACATCTTAATATAGTTGATTAGGAATAAAACTTAATTGAAAGAGTCAACACACACATGCATCTAGACACTTGGAAGAGAAATGAACTTTTAGCACAAAGCACAGGTAATTCTTAACAAAATTTTCTTGTTTTAAAAAATTATTTATGTAACTTTATTCATTCACTCATTTTTTAAAAAATTTGACCAGAGAGACACACACAGACAGGGAGCGAGAAGGTGAGAAAGCAAGCCACCAGGTCCAGGACTTGAACTGCAGTGGCCATGTGAGAGTCCAGTGCCTTAACCACCACACCACCTGCTGGTCCTACTGAACAAAATTTTCAACACCAGTCTTCTCTCTTGAGCATTAACTGATAAAGAAATGGAGCTATCCAGGGGCTGGCAAGTAGTATGGTGGTTAAGGCACTGGACTCTCACATGGCCACTGCAGTTCAAGTCCTGGACCTGGTGGCTTACTTTCTCACTATCACCCCCAAGTAAATTTTTTTTTTTTTGAGATTTTTGCTGTAGGGCATATGTGCTCACCAGAGACTCAGAAAGGGACAGAGACAGAAAGCAAGAAATCACACCCCAGGGGAGATGGCCATGTTGTAATACCTTCTCCTTTCTCCTCCTGGGACCTTCAGCACACATACACATGCACCTGGTGTTGAGTTTTTTTTTTTTATATAATTATTTTAATTTTATTTATTCATTCATTTATTTTCATTTGACCAGGCACACACACACACACACACACACACACACACACACACAGAGAGAGAGAGAGAGAGAGAGATTGAGAGAGAGAGAGAGAAAGTGAGTTAGTAAGCTACCAGGTCCAGGACTTGAACCATGGTTGGCCATGTGGGAGTGTTCAATGTTTTAACCACTGCCACCTGCTTTTCCCCCCTGGTGTTGAGTTTTAAGGCGCCAACTGTGGTCAACTACATGGGAGTCTAACGACATAACCATTATGCCATATGCTGGTGCCAATAAAATAATTCTTAAACATTTTTTAAAATGGAACTACTTGAAATATTTCACATATTAACTCATTTCCACAGTGATTTTCAGTTTGATTTTAATAAAATATTTATTATTAAATATCTAGTGATGTAGAACACTTTTCACATTTATTAGCTATTTGAATTTTTTTTGTTTGTTTTGTTTTTTGTTTTGTTTTTTAATTGCCCACTTGTGTCATTTGCCAATTTTTCTATTAGGTATTCTTCCAGTTTCAGTGTTTACATGCGTGTTCGCTTCATCAGCCTGGGAGTTCCGTGGAGACAAAGACTGTAATTAGATTAGATTTCTTTATCCATCCGCAGAGTGGCTCGGGTTTAGCACGTGAACTATTCAAATTGAATGGAATGATCTTAATTCATTCTCATAACCCTTCGCAGACTTTGACCATGACTTCTGTTTTACAGATGAGCGTAAGACGCAGCGGAGGAGTAAATCGCAGTCACGCAACGACTTAAAGGTAGAAGTGGGACTGTAATCCAGGCCTTTCGATTCTAAACCAATTTACCGACATCGTCCTCCATTTCCCTGCAGAGAAGTTCCCCTCGTCCCTCTCTTCCTTGAGACATCAACTGAGTATTTCACAAGTGTTTAAAGTTAGCGAAGGGCCGTGCCCGTCACGCGCATGCGCCCTTCCCTTTTCCCACAGTAGGGAGAGACAGCGCCTCTTTTTCTTTCGCTTTGTAACTCTTTTGGCCCCGACCACTCGCCATCGCCCGAGCGGAGTTGAATGATGGCGACGGGAACTCCAGACTCTCAGGCGCGATTTGGTCAGTCCGTGAAGGGGCTTCTCACGGAGAAGGTAAACACCTGTGGAACAGACGTGATCGCGCTCACCAAGCAGGTGCTGAAGGGGTCCCGGAGCTCGGAGGTGAGCGGGCAGTGGGCTCTCGTGGCCCAGTACTGTGGAAACTCGCCGCCTTCCATAGCTGTGTGAGGGCCAGGGGGAGCAGCTTTGCATTCTGGGAATTGTAGGCGGCGGAGCCTAGAGGAGGGGTCGTTTGCTGCTTTCTGGGTCTGTAGTCTCTGGTTAGCTTCAGCGCCGCGGTGGGAAGGTCGTGTGATGCCAATTTGTGCTTCAGAGCCGAGAGCGCGGGGCTAGCCAATGGTGGGTAATTGGGCCGGCTGTATCCCACACGGCCCACTGTGCGGTTCGAGTCCAGGACCCAGAGGCTTGGAAAACACTCTGCGTGTGTGTGCGCCCAAAATTCCGAAAGAAGTGGAGGAGAAGGGATTGCGGTCTGACCATCCCCCACGACAGGTGCTTTCTCACTCTGTTTCCCTCTCTCTCAATCTAGTGAGCCCACTCACTGACAAGTTCAAAACAGAACAAAAGGATAGAGCTACTGGATGGCAAAAGAAGCATCTAACCAATTCTTTGTTTCTCGGGGCTTTCTCTAGTGAAGCCCTATCTCTTTCAGTCCCTTAATTATGCAGCATCATTTTGCCTTCAACGTCCTAAATTAATCCACACTTTTGTGCATCACGTGCTTAAGGATTTATTCTTTCCTGATTTGTCTTTCTAGCAGATTCTTTTTATTAAAATAGTTATTTTATTTGACTTTATTTATTTATTTCAGTGTTACCAGAGAGAGACAGAGAGAGAGAGAAGGGGGGGGAATGAGAAAGCAAGCCACCACCAGGTCAGGGACTTGAACCGTGGTAGGCCATATGGGACCCCAGCACCCTTAACCACCAAGGCTCCTGCCGCTGTCTTGTACATTCTTCTTTTTCAGTTTCTTCATGTATAGAAATAATTGATGGCATTACTCATCAGGAAGGTCTGTGTATGTACATCCTGTTCCCCCCACCTAAAAGAAAGACCTACCCATTGAACTTTTTTTTTCCCCTGAGCCATTATATACTTTTACTTTTTGTGGCCTGCAAAGTATTTCCAGAGCTCACTTTACACCCTATATATTTTTAAAAGAATTATTTTATTTAACTATTTATTCATTTGTTTATTTCAATTTGACCAGAGAGGGACAGCGTGAGAGCGAGAGAGAGAGAGGGAGAGAGAGAGAGAAGGAAAGTGAGAAAACAAGTCTCCAGGTCTGGGACTCAAACCGTGATCAGCGAAGTGGGAATCCAGTGCCTTTAACCACCATGCCACCTGTCAGCCCCCTTTACCCCTTGTTATTATTTTTTTATTTTTATTTTTTTTGGAGAGATTTTTTTCTATAGGGCACGTGTGCCTGCCAGAAAGAGAGAGACAGAGAGGCAGAAAGTGAGAAATCACCCTCTGGGGCTATGGCCATGCCGTAATCCCTTCTCCTCCATTCTCCTCTCGGGATCTTGGGCACGCACAAACACGCACCAGGGTTTAAGCCACCGGGTCCAGAACTCAAACCGCAGTCGACTACATGGGAGTCCAGCAACATAGCCATTACGCCAACTACTGGCCCGCTTTACCCCTTATTAACAACAAAACAGAAAGAAAAGGAAAAGAAAAAGAACAGAACCATACAAATAGTAATAGTAACACATAAAAAGTGACATTAAGCACTAAATAAGTTTTAAAATGTGTTTAAAGACACATAAATACATACAAAGAATGTATTCAGTGGACACACTGAAGCTGCCTCTAGTTTTTATTTTAGAAATAAACTAAGTGAATAATACAAAAGTCAAAGAATCATTAGAAAGTTAAAATCATTTATGAATGTTCTTTAAGGCAGTCACAGAATCAAGATCTGTTACGGTCCGTTCTCTGTCATCATTAAATGGCATATAATGCATTAGTGTAAATCTAACGATACAGCTGTTACAGTTTCAGATTGAAATTGTTTCATAACACCAATTTAAAATGTAGACTGGGGACAAGCGTTTGACGTAATGGCTATGTTGCTGGACTCCCACGTAGTTGACCGCGGTTCCAGTCGGACCCAGTGGCTTAAACTCATGCCAGGCGTGTGTGTGTGTGTGTGTGTGTGTGTGTGTGTGTGTGT